CATGTTGCCACATGTAGCCCATCTAGTCAGTGTCAAATTCTGAAACAGTAACTGTAACTGTGTTATAGCAGGCGTGTTTTTCAGTGAGCAAAGATCATGAGTGTTTATGCTCAGTTTTACTCACCCAGCGTAGATTGAGAGACATTTAACACGTGGGATAGTGCTTGGTGCTGGGGAGTTATAGACACGTGAGAGATGTAGAATCACCCACAGTGACAGCCACAGCCTTGACATCAGACACGTGTCAGAAGTGATACTGGAAGGGTTCACCAGGTGCTGTGGGGGTCGGAAGGTTAAGTCCTTCTTGCAGAGAAATGGGAAAAGACCAGGGTTACTAAAACCAGAAGGAAGCAGAAACAGGGCTGGGCTGGGACACAGCTCACTGGGAGAGCACCTGCTTGATACACACAAGAAAGATTCCGTGCACAACCCTTCCACTGCACATCCATTTATAAAACTCAGTTGTAGAATAATTGTGTACACTTATGAAAGTTTTGTTATTAAAATCAAAAAATACTTCTAAACTGCAATTAAAAATGTGCAGGGGCTGGAGAGGTGCTCAACAGGTAGGAACATTCGTTTTCCCTCCAGACCCAAGTTCAATTCCCAGCACCCACATGGCGGCTAACAAGTGTTCATAATTGCAGTTCCAGGGGATCCGACAGCCTCTTCTGGCCTCTTCGGGCTCTGCACACACATGGTGCACCTACATACATGCAGGCAAAACACTTATAAATAAATATGCAGTCAGGGCTGGGGAGATGACTCAGAGGATGCGGACACTTCCTATGCAGCATGAGGACCTGAGGTTGGATTTCTAGCACCCACAGAAGAGCCAGGCATGGCTGTACTTGCCTGAAACCCCAGTGCCATGGGGGGGCAGTAGATTCCATGTGTGGAGGTGGTAGATCCTGTGGGTGGAGGCAGTAGATCCTGTGTGTGGAGGCAGTAGATTCTGTGAGTAGAGGCAGGTAGATCATGTGGGTGGAGGCAGGTAGATCCCATGGGTAGAAGCAGGTAGATCCCGTGGGTGGAGGCAGGTAGATCCCATGGGTGGAGGCGGGTAGATCCCATGGGTGGAGGCAGGTAGATCCTGTGGGTGGAGGCAGTAGATCCTGTGCATGGAGGCAGTAGATTCTGTGCGTGGAGGCAGGTAGATCCCATGGGTGGAGGCCGTAGATCCTGTGGGTGGAGGCAGTAGATTCTGTGGATGGAGGCAGGTAGATCCCATGGGTGGGGCAGTAGATCCCATGGGTGGGTATGGTAGATCCTGTGGGTAGAGGCAGGTAGATCATGTGGGTGGAGGTGGGTAGATCCCGTGGGTGGGTGGAGGCAGTCGATCCCATGGGTGGAGGCAGTAGATCCTGTGGTCTTGCTGGCCTGCCAGTCTAGCCGACATGAGAGTCAGAGAGTCTATCGTAGAATGTCAAGTAGAGATGATAGAAGACAACCAAAGCCAGTTGTCCTTCACATGGGCACATGCAAGGGAATGCACCCACACATGTATACACACAGATATTCTACACACACGGCCCCCCACAACCACACATATTACATATACCACACACAGACACGAACTCTCTCTCACACTCACACATACATACACATACTGCACACATATGTACACACAGAAATACCACATACTTATACACGCACATGCACATACTACATGTACATACTGCCCCCACAATCTCACATACCACACATACCACATACACACACATAGTGCACATACATGCTGGCCTCAACAACCATGCATACAGCATACACCACACACACATGCTGCATACGCACACTGTCCCCATAACCACAACACCACACACACACACATACACTTCACAAAAAATACTGCTCCCACCGTACATACCACACATGCACACACACAGACTCTTTCTCACTCAATCACATATAAACACATACCCCACATACATATACCACACACACATGCCCACATACATGCACATACATATTGCCCCCCACAACCATATACACATACCACACACACATCTACACATAGCACACACATTCCAAAATTCTTAATGCACAATGGAAGTTTGTGAGTCACTTTTGAGGTCCACATGTCAATAACTTAGTACAGTTTCCAGGGATAATGTACATATAAGGTGAATGCAGGTTATAATTTAGCGATAAAGGCTGTTTTTAAACAAGATGAACTGCTTAAATGGCTCGATGGATAAAGGCACTTGCCACATAAGCCTGTCAGGCTGTGTTTGATCCCCAGAGCCCTCTGTGGAAGGAAGACCTGACTCCTGAAAGCTGTCCTCTGACCTCCATCCATGTACTCACACACATGTCATACACACACTCAGTAATAACGATAACAAATAATGTTTTAAATTATGGAAGATGAAGGTGATACTGTTTTGTTTCCTGCATTCCCTCTAAGAAAGCAGCACAGAGAACTGGCGTGCATCCCCAAGTGCCCTGCCCTCTGCTCCCCCTGTGTAAAAGTGCAGCTGAGCACTGGGCAACTGAGCAGTGGTCTCCCGAGCACTGTGATCTTGAACATGGGCCTCCTGAGCACTGGGCTACTGAGTAGAGCTCTCCTGAGCACATCTCCTGAGCAGGTGTCCAGCCCTGACCACAGCTGGGGAACCAGGATGCTCTCCCAAGCTTGAGTCTTTGATTAATATGAATATCTTCACTTTCTTCTTCTGTCATTCCAGACTGAACTCTATTGACGTGAAGTACCAGATGTGGAAACTGGGAGTTGTGTTCACAGACAATGTAAGCCTCCTTCGTCACCATCCCAGGAAGCCTGTTCATGTGATGAGTCTGTGGATGGAAAGAAGTTATTTGAGGAAGTTATTCAAGTACTAATACAACTAACAAACACCAAGCACGGTGTCTAAGAGACACCCAGGCACAGAAGTGCTTAATCTTTATATGAGAAAAGAAAATGTGCAGGTTGTGGTGGCGCACGCCTTTAATCCCAGCATTCAGGAGGCAGAGGCAGGCAGATCTCTGAGTTCAAGGCCAGCATGGTCTCTATAGAGAGATCCAGGCCAGCTGGGGCTACAGGGAGACCCTGCCTCAATAAATAAATAAACAAATAAATACCCCAAACAACGAAAAGAACAAAGATACATGCAAACTCATTCATTTGTTCAGATTTTAGTTGGATGAGGTATACTTCAAAGGTTCGTAGATTCTCAAGAAAACACAAATAATTTTTTAAACTTACTTCTCTTAGAAGGGAGGCGGGAAGAGGCGAGGGGAACTGACAACTCACAGAAGGGAAGAGACGGCTCTGACAGACAGAGGAGGAGGAGGCACAACAATCAAAGCATTTATGAAAATGCCATAATGAAATCCATTACTTTACATATTAACTTTAAAAAACAATCACATTTTTAAAAACAGTTGTGTTAACTTTTCTCCCAAATTAAGAACATGAAATCATTGTGTTTTTGGTCTTAATTTATCCTTATCAAATGCCTTTTAGAAACCAAACACAATGCCCGAGTATACATATATTTAAATATGATTGAATGCAATCATCCATTAATCATCCATTATCAAAATCTGAGTCACCTCAAGATGTCACCCTTTATTTTTAAACATTTTTTTTAAAAAAATAGAGAATGCTTGCTTCATTTTCCTAATATCAAAAGCCTCTGACACCCCAAGTTCTTCCCCGTGTCGTCACCCCTACATTATCCAGCTGTCATAAGACCTTCTGAAGATCCATAAATGTATCTTGTAAGCATCTTTTAGAGCCAGGAACTATTAATATACCACTTTGCAATGTATCGTATTAATGTATAATGATGGAAAATGTCTCAGGATTAAACAGAACCAGCCAGTTCCTGCTCCAGTAGGGATCCTCTGCCCAATAGCCAGTGCATCCTGGTTCATGATGCTGCAGGCATCATCCACCCCACTGTCCTGGCATAGCCCACTTTTGCCCATGTGAAACTGGTACCTTGTGTTCTCAGTTTTGTGGAGTTGGATTTGGACATGTATAGATCTGAAGGTAGCCCAAAGTCCCTTCAGACATCTTTCAGAGACCCCCATCAGGCTGTCAGTCTCCTGCAGTTATATGGTTTCTGTTTGGCCAATCACTTTGCACACATATTCAGTCAGTACAGTTTGTCTCTGAAACACAGCCAGGGTTATCAGGTGAAATACAGGATTCCTGGCGAAATTTCTGATGATTAAAAATGAGTTAAGTTTTAGTATTCGTATGAGCAAGTACAGATGCTAAGACTTACCCATTCTCCATCTGTCACTCAGACTTAGCGGAGCATCCCATGCTAAATCAATGACGCAGCCTCCCATACAAATCCTTATTCCTCAGGCTTTGTGTCTCATAATAACCTGTTAGATGGCACCACCTTAATGGCCCCAGGCAATTGTGTCACCATCCCTCTCCCGAACTCTTCCTGGCAAATCCAGCCCCCGCTCCCAACCACACTTTTCTCTTTCCATTAGTATTTTTGTTATTATCCAAGCTTAAAACGTTGTGTACATTGGGACTGGAGAGACTGCTCAGTGGTTAGAAACTCCTATCCTTACAGAGGACCCAAGTTCAGTTCCCAGCATCCACATCAGGTGGCTCACAACTGCCTGTAACTCCAGCTCCAGAGGATTCCACACTCTCCTGGCCCCCAGAGGCACTGCATTCCTGTGCACAAACCCACACATAGACGCACATACATACACATAATTAAAAAATAAATATTTCAGTATAAATCAGGAGATGTCACTAAGTAGATCACTCACCTGATGTCACACACAGGTGGCCGCAGGTCCAGGGGGCCATGCGCAAAGGCACAGTGTAGCCCATTTTTCACGCAGTGGCCCCGTGCATCTGTCTCATGGATACATGTGCCTGTCTTGTAGTAGCGCAGGTGGTACTTGCGCTCTGTGTCCCCAGTTGTTCGATGCAGGTAGGGGCATCTGGAAAGCAGAGGGGTGAATATACTCTAACTAGTTCTTGTGGACTTGGAGCTTACACTGAGCTCCACCCTCCTCCAATTAGCACCTGAAAAAGTAGCTTTTACATTTCTGCTGCGTATCAAGGTCTGACCAGAAGGATGACATATCTGAATGAGCAACTTGGCCCTACAACCCAACACAAAGCACTCAGACCAAATCCAATATACATAGCAAAAAAAAAAAAGAAAGAAAAAATCACCGATTTCCATGAAAATCATCCTCCATGGCTTTTTTATTTTTGGTCTGCCTTCATCTCAAAATAATTTGCACACCAAAGTAGCACACTTTGGGGTAGACAACCTTTCCATACTTTAACACTACACAATTACCCTTATTATCATTGTTATACAAAAACTCATGAAATCATGGGGCTGGAGAGATGGCTCAGTGGTTAAGAACACTGGTTGGTTCTTGCAGAAGATCCAAGTTCAAATCCCAGCACCCATATGGCAGCTAACAACTGTCTATAACTCCAGTCCCAGGGGATCTAACAAACTCTTCTGACCTCAGTGGGCATTGCACGACAGACACGGGCACACTTACCTACGTGTAGGCAATACACGCATCCACATAAAATAAAAATAAAATTAAAAAAAGAACTAATCCAGTTCTTTAGAACTGAAGAACAGCAGTCTAGAAAAGGTGGTGAGGGGAGTGGTTAGCACAGAGTGAAATCAAAGTGGCTTTGTGCAGCCCTCACATGCTCTGATTTCTGACCCCCATCCCGCCCTGTTTTGTCCTGACAGTCCTTCCTCTACCTAGCCTGGTATATGACCATGTCCATCCTCGGACACTATAACAACTTTTTTTTTGCTGCTCATCTTCTTGACATTGCAATGGGATTCAAGACCTTGCGAACCATCCTGTCTTCAGTCACTCACAACGGCAAACAGGTAAGTGTTCGTCGTAACTAAAATCAGCAACAAAAAGAGCAGGCAAAACCCAAACCAACACTGAGATGACAGTATGTGACTTTAAAGGCTTCTTTTTTTTTGATAAATGATCTATACCTTTTTCCTTATAAGCCATGAAGATTAGTTGTTCCAAAGTTCCCATGACTTGAGTTCAGGAATTGATTTAAGGGATTAGTCATGTGGCCCTGGATAAGTAAATCTCAAATTTCCTTATTTTCTAAAGCAAGACTAATAAAGCATTGTCAGACTTTTGTGACCATTATAAGAAAACACAGAGGACTTAGAATCACATTTATTAAGCGTGGAGGAAATTAGTTCTATTTTGCTCATGCGGTGATGTTTGTATATCTGATAGCATGCGGCACTAAAAATATAGGATCCTGAGGTGTTAGTGATAATAGTAATGAGAGATGCTGCAATTTAAGTTAATGAGATATTTTAATTTTTATTCATGTACTATTTCCACTTTTAAAATGAACAAATAAGTACTGACACTTAACAAGGTCATGACAGCTTAGAGGACAGCTGGTCTAGGTTCAGGCAATCTACTTGCATTCTGATGGAACTCAGCTGTTCCATGCTGAAACCGCCTATTGCTGTGACCTAGAGCAGAAGTATCCATTTATTGATTCATTTGCTATTTTTCAAGTGTCCACTGGGTGGTAATAATTCTATAGTAATTACTAATTACATCCAAGGATGAACAGTCCTTCTAGCCCAGTACATTTTAAAATCGGTGTCCCTTCAAAAACCAGAACTGTGCTCAATTTCACAGTCATCATCACGATCTTTTGTTTTCTAAATCCCAGTAAGTAGCTCCTACATGTGTCACCTTAGGGTCTGAGTACGGCTGATTCTCATGCAAGTCACAGGCCCAGTGACAGAGCACAGTGTGCACTGCGCTCATTTACCAGTGGATTGAGACTGAGTGTGTTGAAGACAAGATGCCAGGGCCGGAGAGAGCTCAGCAGTTAAGAGTGCTTGCTGCTCTTGTGGAGGCTCCAAGTTCTGTTCCTAGTGCCCACATCAGGAGGCTCACAACCACCTGTAATTCCAGCTCCAGGATCTGATGCCCTCTAGTGGCCTCCTCAGATTCCTGCATGCACAGAGTGTGTATAAACTGATGAAGGCATTCACACCTACACCTAAATAAATAATGAAGGCTGGAGATGCCTTGTTTCCTCAACACCTCGCTATGTAGGGTCTGTCAAGGCTGTCAATCAGTTTCTGAGTCTTTATGGGTGTGGCTTATCCTGGTGAGGTATAAAACTTTCATTTGGAGAAATACAGAGAGAAGAATAATAAACAGGTAGAATATAGAACACTTACAGTGTTGTTATACTTATAGAAGTGAATTAAAGCTTCTATTAAAAGAACATGCTTTCTCAAGATGTTAAAGAGATGTAATAAAGATTTAGTGAACATATATAGTTATTGCCAAGAACACAGGATGTGGACCAATAAAAAAAAAGTACATGTGAGGCTGATGCATTTTAGTATGTTGAGAATTCCTGTTGTGTTCAGAAATAGACTTTTCAGTAAGTTGGTAGAAGTCACACTTTAGCATATCAGATAGATAATATATAGGTGTAGGTAGATAGATGATAGATAGATAGATAGATAGATAGATAGATAGATAGATAGATGATATACACCAGTATATTTGGGAGAGGTAGAGATTGATAATAGCAGTTCTGTCAGCTCTTTCTATACACAATGCAGTTTGGAGTAAGAGATTACACAGACCTGAAAAAAGATCTTTCCAAATATGGCATTTAATTCCACGTTGAGATAACTTGCTTTCAAAAGATTGTTGGCCATTACCTATAGTGTTTCTCATGCCAATGAATTTCTTATGCTTCATAGCAAGACTTTTGTTTTATATTTTTATTTTTTTAAATAAAAAAATTTTTGTTTTATGTGTATGACTGTTGACATGTGTACTCATGTTGTGCAATGCCAGCAGAGGCCAGAAGAGGGCATCAGATCCCCTGGAAATGGAGTTACAAATGGTTCTTTGCTGCCGTGGGTGCTGGGAATTGAACCTGGATCCTCTGTAAGAGTAACCAGTGCTCTTAACTGTTGAGTCATCTCTCCAGCCCCTGTTTTATATATTTTTAAAATTTTATGTGTATGAGTGTACTGCCTGCATGTATGTATGTGCACTCATGTTGTGTGATGCCACAGAGGTCAGGAGAGTGTGTCAGATTCCCCTGGAACTGGAGTTAAGGACAGTTCTTAGCCACCATGTGGGTACTGGGAATCGAACCCAGGTCCTCTGCAAGAGCAGTCAGTGCTCTTAACCACTGAGCCATCTCTTCAGCCCATGTTTTATATTTTTTAATATTTAATTGTATCTTACATTAAATCTGTAGTCCCAGGTTTCGGAATTGATACTAATTCTTATTTAATTTTAAAGTGTGATTGAAAATAAAATTTAATTCATGACCCCTCTTACTATTTTAGAAAAATAAGGTGATCTGTTTTAAGCCTGTACGTTATTTACAGAAAAAAGACCTCAGGGCTGGAGGAATGGCTCACTGATTAAGAGCGCATACTGCTCTTGCAGAGGACCTGAGTTCACGTCTCAGCACCCAAGTCAGGTGGTTCCCAACTTCCTAGAACTCCAGTTCCAGGGGATCAGATGCCCTCTTGTGGCCCCTGCAGAACCTGCATGCATGTGGTACACTTACAAATAAGCAGGCACAGAAACATATGTATAAATGAAAATAAAGTCGAGAACTGTTCTTGTAACAAAGGAGAGCGTGCTCTGTAGTGTCTGCTGCCAGCTATTGAGATGATAGGGATGTGAACCTTGCCAGTCGCTTCCTGATAGTTATCAGTTTGATTTTATCAAACCAGAGCATGTTCATAGTCTGGCAATACTATATAGTGATTAGTCAGTAGAATAATCACAGTTGCATAAAATGCTTTGACAACTTGATAAAATCAGGAGAATTTGTCCACAAACGCCTTCAGTGGTGGGCTAGGGAAGAGAAATAATGAGGTTCTGGATCTCATGAGCTTGTAGTCCATAAGTCCGGTGTGCAGCTGTAGGGCATCCCTTCCACCCAGCTGTAAAGCTTGCCGGTCCTGGTCCCTAACGTGCGCTCTACCTTACTCTCCAGCTTGTGCTAACCATTGGCCTGTTAGCCGTTGTTGTGTACATGGCATTCAACTTCTTCCGGAAATTCTACAATAAAAGTGAAGATGGTGATACGCCAGATATGAAATGTGACGACATGCTAACGGTGAGTTCCGCCACTTGCAGTTCATGGAAATGAAAATAAAAATGATCCTGTATCTTTCATCTAAATAATTGTACATTTCCTCTTTCTCAGGACAGGAAAGGAAATACCAGACACAATAAACAGTTGTGTGGCTCTAAAAAAAGAGCCGCGGTTTTCATTTGTACCAGACCATTTCTGTCAATTTCCCACATCTGTTTGCTCAGCATAATAGTAGAATTGCTGAAAAATATAGTTAGAAATGGGAGAAATGTGATCACATTAGCCTACTGCTCATACGCCCCAGGGCAGCTGGTAAAATTACTTCTTGGGCAATATTCTGCAGTCTTGGCTCTTTATTTTCCTTAATGACTCTACCTGACGTTCTAATGGGACTAGAACTTTTTGCTTTTATACCAAATATCTTGTCCTAAATTTCCCTTTTTCTGGGGGGGGGGGCTTCATTTTCAAAGTTCACATCTGTTCTGGCTTTCATATCATTCCATGTCACCATTATACAACCCATCTCTCTTAGTTTCTTCTCTGTTTCTGCGTTAAAATATCCCAACACAAAGCAGCTAAGGGGAGGGAAGAAAGAATTTGGCTTAGAGATCCAGAGTGTTACAGTCCCCCACAGTCGGGAAGGGTTAGCAAGGTGAGCAGGAAGCTGGCTGATCCCATTTCATCCACACACAGGAAGCAGAGAGAACAGCATCTGGAGTCAGGATATGTGGCCTCAAGGCCACCCCCAGCAATGTTTAGGGAGCTCCACCTCCTAAAGGCTCTGTAACCTCTCCACACAGCACCACCAACTGGGGACCGAATGTTCAAATTCACGAACTCATGGGGACATTTTCCCTTGTGAACTACAGCAATGGTGTAACAAAAATTACCATCCTCAAGAGCTTAGGTTGGGAAGGTTAAAATGAAGGCAAAATACATGTTGCTGCTGGGAAGTGAGAGGTCCTTCTGTGAGCTCTTCATGAAATGTCCACGTGACTGGGGTCCTGTGAAAGCCTCAAGGGGGCTGTTATGATTCTAAAATTCTTGTAGAAAATAACCTCTCAGAAGAGTGATGTGAAAAAAATCTTCTGATACTTTGAATAGAAAGCGTATTAATACTCGTCCAAATACTCATGAAAATTAAAATATGACAAAGTTCTTTTTTATGATCATGAAGTCAGATTCAGTAATGGTATTGGCCTCATGGACAAGCTCCTGCAGGGAAAATGGTAAAAGTGTGTACCAACTTTTTTTTTCCAATCAGTAAGAATTGGGAAAGTTTTGACTCCTTACAATAATGAGAAGTTTAAGTGAGGAAAATCCTGAGTATGCTATAAAATCTAGAAACTGAAAAAGCCAAAACATTTACTTTAAAAAAGAACAAATACAAATGACATCTTAGACACAAATGATACCCATTCGGTGGAAGGAAAGAGCTAATTTCCACAAGTTGTCCTCTGGTTCAGCATACACACTTGTCCTCCCCAGTGCCCCCCACACAAAACAAATAAAATTTAATTTAAAAATTTAAAAATAAATAGGCCAGTAGAAAAAAAGGCAAATTTATAAGATCAGACAATTCACAGTAAAGTTAATTTATTCAGCTTGCAAATCTGAAAAGATGCTCAGTTTCTACCATAAAGCAAGGGAAAACTTATCCTTGTAAAAAATAATAAAGCTTGCTGATGACTGTGGTTTGTGACTTGATGGGGAACCAGCACATTAGTCATGTGATGGTGGCAGAGAACAATAAGGTCTGAAGGGCTCAGGGCAAAGTACCACCCCAAGGACACTTCCCTAGGGCCTCAGACCTCCAAGGAGGCCCATTTACTTCTCCCACTACATCCCAGTGATGTCATCATATTAGAATCCATCCAGGGATTAATCCATCCAGCCAGAGCCCTCGTGACTCAGCAGTCTGGAGATAGCCTCATGGACACACACTAATCGCCTGTGTATTTCTTTCTCCCAAACATGATTAACCATCAAAATCTTGCTTTAGGATGAAGAAGTGGGCTCATGATGCAAGTGGTGAGTTAGCTCAAGCCTAGCTGTCCGTTAATGTGAGGGACTTCCAAGAATCCTTATGAGTGAGGCCAACTGTGGCTGGCTCTGGGGTAGGGTTTTCTCTGTGCATCACCATAAACTTCCTGTCTTGCCTTTGACTAGGGGTGAGCTTGGAGGCTCCATGAGGAAGCGTCTCAGGTGTTTCCTTTCTGCAGGAGAAAACTGGGTGTCAAGACACTGACCAGAGTCCAGCTCTGGGGCATTCACAAGGAAGACCTGCTGTTGCCAGTCAATAGAACCAGGCAGGAGTCAGGCTGGCCACATGCTCATGGAGCTGCTGATTGTTCATAAAAAGTCCAGCATGGGTATCTGTATTACCTAGATTGACCTTGCAGCCTTAGGGCCCAAATATCTGCTTCAACTGGTTTCTTATTAATGCATCTGCTGCTGCTGCTGGTGGTCTTCGTCTTCCTCCTCCTCCTCCACCTCCTCCTCCTCCTCCTCCTCTTCCTCTTCCTCTTCCTCCTCCACCCTTCCTCCTTGTCTCCCTCTCTTCCTCCCTCGTCCCCTCTCTTCCTCCCTCCCTTGCTATCTGTGTATGGATTCTGTGCATGTGGTCCCATGTGGTGGTACGCACACGTGTCTTCATGACGTGCTTGCAGAGATCACGGGACAACCTTCAGTACTGGTCATCAGGTGGCTCCACCTTTTCTTTAAGACAGGGACTCTCCAGCCTGGGCTGCTGCCCCCAGGTGCCCAGGGATCCTCCTGCCTCTACCTCCCGTCTCACAACGCTGGGATTAGAAGTGCATACCACAGCACCTAGCTTTTCTTTAGCATGGGTTCTGAGGATCTCAGTTGTGTCCTCTTGCTTGCAAGGCAAGCACAGCTCCCTTCCTCTTCTTTTAAAACACCACATTGCTTTCCAGAGTACCGAAATTTTTAAAAAGAAAGAAAAAGCCAACAAAGTTTAAGCTGAAACCGGTCACTAGCTGTGGCTTTCTTTCAAAGCAGATGTGGCTGAGCCAACCAGCCAGCCATCAAGAAAGCATGGGGTTGGAAATAACCAGATTAACTTTCAGAAGTTCTCAAAAGAGAACCCTTGCAGTGACAGTCTAGCAGTTCTTTTCCATAGGCTGAACTCTGTATCCTAATTGAAGCCTGTGTTCTTTCTTGAGATATGTTTGCCCTCCTTGGGTAGGCCGAGTTATAAGGTGGTCACCCTGCACCTCTCAGATCTTTGCAGTGCTGGCTGCCGACCAGCGTCGCCGGTCCCCTCCGTTATTTCCAGCAGGGGGCGCTGCAGCCACAGTTTTACAAACCGCCCCCTGATTCCCAGGAGATTTCTTCTTTCTCAGATCATATTTCAGTCAGCATCTAATTAAACCAGCCCTGTCCTGGTAAGGTTTGAACCGCCTCTTCAAAAATGTGGGAGGAGAAAGTAAAGAATACCCTGTAGCCTAGAGCATAAAGCTTGTTGCCACTGGGAAGACCGGCTGGGCATGCAGAAGGACGGTTCCCCCCCTAAACAAAGGAATCTCCAGGGACGCTCTGCAAACCCACAGGACCACTGATACCCCCACCCCCACCACATCCCCTGAAGGCAGGGAAGCTAAG